GAATGAGTTAATGTCGAGCCTAGGTGTTGAGCCTAGGTGTATGCCTTATCTTGTTTGTCTGTCGTCTGAGTCTTTATAGATGGGGATGGAGGATAAAATCGTGCATGCCCCCTCGATATAGATGAGTTTGTGCGATTTATATATCAGGGTATAAACAATAATATGCTTCAAAAAACCAAGGTAGTCATGCTTGTTGCGTGTCTGTATGACTCAGTAAGCTAGGCATAGATACAAATTCATATATACAACCTGTGTTTGAAGGCCAATAGAGTCTTTCGTGATGTCGAATTCGTTAGACCAGACAAATTTACTGAAAGAGTCTCGGTTGCCTTGTCAGCCAAGGCTTTTGCTTGTCGTCTGGCAATTGGTTCTGGTGGATTCTCTTCCGACACTCGTGGGCTCATCGTTGGTTTTCTGCGGGAAGGCTGTTGTGTGCTGGTATGCAATGTGGGAAAGTCTCTTTTAGAGGTATGTGGTTTATGTAGTCCATCTTGGAACATTTTGTGTATGTAGTTTAGTCCTCCACAGAGCTTCTCGTGCGCCTCTCCTCCCTTTGAGAGAGGCCGATCTGTCTGGTCTTCTGTTTCTTTGATGGTGGGCGCCATCTTTGGTCGTATGGTAGTGTAACGGGTGGAACGATTGGGTCCGGGGCATACCAGTCTATGATAGTGGTTTCCTTTAGGTCTAGAGCTAGCGAAGGGAGCTGTATCTTGGTACATGGAGATCGTGAAGGTGGTTCCTTTGATGTTGACATTCAGGGCCAAAGGAAAGCCCCACCTGTATCGTATGTTCTGCGCCCTCAGTTGGTCTGTGATGGGCCTTAGGGCTCTTCTCGTCTGGAGAGTAAGCCAGGAGAGGTCCTGGTAGATCTGGATCTCATGTCCCAGAAATAGTAGAGGGGAGGAGATGTCTCTTAGTTTACGTAGTATGTCTTCTTTCAGTGAGAAATAGTGGATGCGGTATATCACGTCACGTGGCATTTTGCCTGCTCCATTTTTTGGCCTTGGAGATCTGTGAGCCCTATCAAGTATCACTGGGGTGTCTGGAGCGCGACCCAGGATTAGGTTAAATAGAGTGGTTAGGTGGTCGTGTAGGTTTTCGTTATCTGCCTCTGGTAACCCCCTAATACCCAAGTTGTTCCTCCGACCTCTGTTATCTATGTCATCTAATGATCTCTGTAGCATGGTCAGGTGCCTCTCAAGGGTATTAAGTTTGGAGGTTAGGTCTTGAATTTGGGCCTGACATGAGGCCCTTTCGTCCTCCAGGTCCTGTACCCGTCGGCCTACCTGTCTGATCTCAGAACTCATTTTGTGCTGGAATGTGGTTTCCAGTTTCCCCAGCATCTGTGCCAGGTCTGTCCTTGAGGGTAAGTTCCTCAGTATCTCCTTAAGGTCCACGTCCATGGAGTTAGATGAGGTGTCGGAGGGTGTGGGACTCAGTGGTTCTGAGTCTGTGTGGGCCACCGCCGGCGCCATATTGGATTCCCCTGCATCTGCCACGCGGTCGGCATATTCTTTGAATAAGCGGGTTACCGATCCTGGTTTACCCGCTGGTGGACAATTTTCTCACATTGTTTGATATTTAAGACTATTTGTTTGGGTAAATAGAACACTCACCCACATCAGATATCTCTTTAATATAAACTCTCTCTCAGCGCCGATGACACTTTCTCACAGTTTTCCTGGGTCCTCTGGACTTCACGTGTAAGGAGCCACATGTAGTGGGAGATGTATCATGTTTCCACCATGTTTTCAGGGACATGTAAAACGTAAACATATTGATGGGCAACACATGAAAAGGGCTGCCCTTCAATATTTTACATTGAAGGGCTAAGGGTATGGGACACTGCACGCAGTTGAGATGAGGTGGTCTCGGTGCCTATAGTGTCCCTTTAATTAGCCTAAGGGTGTAGATTTTTTTTTTTTAAATGTGTGCAGGTGATTGCAAATAATTTGTATATGTGGATATTTGTGTTATGTGTGTATGAGTCTGTATATAATTTATATATGTTTGACCATAATGGTATTTATTGGTGGGTGGGTTTGTGAATTTGACTGCTTTCGTGGATGAATATAGGTTGTTGGGTGTAGAGAGCTATGCGACGTGGTGGGTTTTAGTGGTAGGTGTGTAGTTGGTAGGGTATATGAACAGAAAGGTGGATGATGGATAAATGTTCCAGGGTGGGCGAATGTGTAGGCATGTGATTGGGTGGTTGCATATTACTGTATATGCAGTGGGGCAGTGTGAATAGGTAGATGGGTATATGTTATATGTGACTGTATGGGGATATATGACAGGGTGGTTGACAGGTAACTATAATTAAGTGATAATTAAGTGGGAGCTGGGCAGAAGGGCTGTTGAGAGAGAAAATCGGGGTTATTCAATAAAGTGAGAACTGCCAAGATTCCAAAGTAAAATTCACAATTTAGGCCAAAAGAGCTAATATAGAAACATTATTCAAGTCAATTCTTTTTTTGAATTCTTTATTTATTTCATTTTTTATGAAACTAGGGTCAGGGATATATAAAGGAAGGAAGGTGTCAAAAAATACAATCATACATTTTCATTGTAGCGATGTTATACAAGTGATACACAGTGTGATAAAATTTCATACAGGCTAGTATTTAAGGTGCATAAGTCGTGGAGGGCGCGTGACCATTTGCCCTTCTGTTTGCCCTGATGTAGGTGTACTTGTAGAGTAATTCTTTCGAGTCGATCTTACAGGGTTCTGTGCTGTGAGTGTAGTTGTAGGCATTTATGGTCAGTGCTTTGAGGTTCCTGTGGATTCAAGTCAATTCTGTGTCCAGTTTGACTATTTTGGCTCTACATTTAAAATTCACTTTGAATTCACTTTAAAGTCCCAGGCATTCTCACTTTTGCGACTAACCCTGTCTGTCTCTCCCAACAGCCAAAGCCGTGCAGTCTTTAATATGTTAGTTGGGCGAGTGACTGTAAAGAGGACATACTAGAGTAAATCTGTCTGCAAAAGTATGATGCCTGGATGCACTGCACCCTGTACACTTAGCTCTACATGAAGATGGGCCTCATGCACTCTGCTCAAATGCTGTGCATCCTAATATTCACTAGGACTTGTAGTTTCTAATAAAAAAAAAATTATGAATCTAAATAGAATCTTAATTTATACTGTAGGAATAATTACACAAATAAACAGGGTTGAAGTGAACTGTCAATATTTTCTAAAACAATAAATGTGGAACTGTATTTTGCATTCAGATTACAAAATATAGAAAATATGGTGTAATATGAACCAAATGAAACATTAAACTTGAAAATCTGCGAATCAGTGCTTGGCACAAATAACACAAAATTCCAAGGCTATGCCTTACACCAGTAGCATGGCTTTATCACATGCATGGGTATTTATTCTTTCACTTGCCAAATATTTGTTCTTTAAAGCTTTATCTACAAGATAAAAGTGTGTGAAAAGGATTTGTGTTCCCCACACAATTCTGGAACAATACGTGCTGGTTTTCATTGCAACCGTTTACAAACAGAAAAAAAAGGCAAGTGAGATACAGTACTGAGTTTCATACTAATAGTTTTTGAGTCATGGACAATAATGTAAAACATGTTGTCAAAGAAAGATTACATTATAGATTGTTAGGCATTTTGCAAAACTGTAATATTTTGGGTTATTTGTGTTAAAATAGCATGTTTTAAGTGAGTAACAGCATTACGCTAGAGTAATATGAATTGTAGTTGCTTCTTTATGTACACAATGATGAAAGGAGAGGAGAGCTTAAAGTGGTACTGTCACTCCACATAAAAATGAGATTTTCATAAAGATGGAATTTTTATGAAATACTCATTACTTCCTAACCCAGATTTTAAATTTCAACTCAGTGTGTGTTTCTTTTTCGCTTGACACTTCTAGACACAAGGAGGAGTCTAAGAGTCAATCTCGACAGCCGTCACCAGTGACAGCTGCAGAGAATCAACTGTGTCTCTGGGGGTTCCAGTGGTTTTGCAGGATCCCCCATACACATCAATGTTGTACTCTCGCACATGCGCAAGAGTTAAGCTGTGACGTCAGTTCAAGGAGGATCGTGCCAGACCAAGATTGTGAGGTACAGGTAAGTAAATTTACTTTTACCTGCACACCTCGGCCATCGGACCTCCAGCAGAGATATCACCATCGTGGGGCTTTGCAAATTCGGCAAAGTCTCCAACTGGTGACAGTGCTATTTTAAGTGAAATAGGTTAAATTACTTAAGAGTCGAACTAGGAAGAGATAGCTTTAGTGAGGGTTATAAAACACAGCAACAAAGTCCAGTGAATGCCAGTCCATAAAACTTCTCAACCAGAAACAAACTGCGAGACAGCAATGGAATCCAGCCATCTCAAACAAAAACCCACCGGGAAGAAGTGAGGGCCATCGACCAACACCGAATGAAGCTGTGAAAACACAAAGAACAGGAGCCAAACAATTAAATCGGTACTAAAACCAAACTGCAAAATGCTAAACAATATGGACCCCTCATGCATCAGGTCATAGCACAAAATAATGCAAACCAACAGTGTATAACATGCAAATCAAACCAGCGCACACTGGAATATTAAAACACTAAATAAGTACAGTGTAATCCACATCACACCTACCGTACCCTCGGATCCTTATATGATAGAAAAAACAGCAGGGAGGGATAAAAAAGGTAAACAAATTCAAAAGGGTAGGACAATACTCGCCTCCGTGTCTTTCATAAAATCATGACTTTTCGTCATGAAATAGCAAAATCATGTAATTTTATGTCAAGACACAGAGGCTCATATCGCAAATTTAAAGCTTACCAACCACCGCTGAAAATAAAATTTGCAAAACGTGGATTCCCGCGACCAGTCTGCTATTCTCATCAACTCCTCAAGACATGCACCTGAAGCCACCATGGAAATGGCTGATGCCCCCCGGCAAGAATTGGCACTAAAAATAGATGGGTCCACGCCAGCCTGTAACATCACCCACTTCACCCAGCAAGTCAAAGTAGTGCTGGAAACCAGAGAAAACAGATGGCGAAGTGAGAGAAAAAGCTGCGGGATGATGTAGACCGATGCACACTAGTCCGAAGATCATACTCACGCAAACAGGCACCAGGACACAACTCCGCAGAAGCTGGGAAAGCCGGGTAAGATACTGACCGAATAGCCATCTTGGTGCATCTGGATATGTTAAAAGACACCCCGCCCGGAGTGAAAGACTGTGCATCGCATCCTGAGCCCGCACAATCAAGACACTCTTGCAAGAAATGAGGCAGAAGAGGGTGACCAACTAGGTGGAGAATGGTCATAAGGATAGATCTGCATTAGGAGGCCAGGAACCAAAGAGAGTTAAAGGGACACTACAGTCACCTGAACAACTACAGCTTAATGTTGTTATTCAGGTGAGATCTATAACTCCCTGCAGGCAATCTAATGTAAACATTGATTTATAGGAATACCTCCAGTGGCCGTCACTCAGACGGCCACCAGAGGGACTTCCTATCATGTATGGCCCTAAAAAGGCCATGTACACGTCAGACCTATTAAAATAAAATGTCAGCAGGTAGTGCACTCAGGACTTCATACAAATTGCAGACGTGCCGAATTTCCG